CTTTGTATGCCACCGGACATACCTCCGGAAAGTCTCTCCAGTTCCCTCACACGAGGCTTCCGGCTTTTCCACCGGCTGCCTTACTGTCTCCGCATGGAAACCATCCCGCCTCTGCAACAAGTGTGCTTGCAACGGCCAGCAAGACGCTTCATTCGGTAGATTTAGCTTTCTCTCGCCTGAAGTTGAGCACGGAGAAGCCTCCAAGGCCTGATGCCCACGGACCGTCTTTCGACGAACTCTCACTCTGTTTCACCTATTCTTATTATTTCAATCTACTTCTCTACAAGGATGGACCGCAGTATCGCACATTTCTCACACCACTCAATCAATCTCCTGGCCAGTCCTCCCACCACTACGGCTCGCTCGGAATTGGCATCGATTTATGAAGAACTGTGTGTACGTCCCTCAGTACTCAATAGTGAGCCTGAACTGGATCACAGGCCGTTTCGTCCGCCTTTCACCATGCTATTCCATCAACCTCATACTTAGAGCCTTAGCGTTGATGCCACTGTCTCAAGCAGTGTCTTGGCCCACTCTTTATTTCGAATAATCAAGGGGAACCTAACGTTTTGCTTAGACTCATAAAGTACATCACTAGAAGCGCGGAGCATCAATGTTCAACATACCGCCTCGTGTCCACCTCTCACTGGTATTATGCCACGATGGTCGGGTTGCCGCGGCACTCGTACCTCGTCTTCGGATTCGCCCTGCCTTTTAATTGACTTTGGTGTGCCTCTCGGAAAAGACATGGAGAACGGTTCTCGGTCGGCGCAGCGAGTGCTACTACTCTTCAGTTTTCAGAACTAGAGTCCAGTGAAGCCTCACAAGCCCCGGAATTCACGGCCTTCTTGTCTGGTTATGTCTGGACGTACACTTATTCATCTCCAGGAGCAGCTGTAGCAGCTAACCCTTAGCAAGCTTGTCGATGCCTCTATTCCCAACAGACCGACACGGGATTAAAGTCTCACAAGTACGTGACGAGCAAGATGGTGGAGTCGACAGCTGGATGTGCCTAGAATTCAATCTGCAGAAGTGAGTAGACGACCGAGGGTGAGCAAGCGACGTTTCCACGGGCCCGACTAATCCCATCAGGCACTAGCATGGTCATCGGACCTAAACCGTGCTTCTTAGATGGAATTATGGGATCAGTATCCACGATGAACCTGAGCCTTGTCGCTCGATCTCAATTGTCGTTGTTAGAGTGCTTCTTTGCATCTTCTGGACTACAATACTTCAGGCGGTATTCGTCAAAACTTGCAAGAATCACGGCGTCCCCGATCCGGGGTATCTTGCATTTCTTGAGATCCGCAATTTACTGCGTTAGGTAAGATCATGCTGTCAAGTAGCAAAAAGCAATGCAAACGTCTGTGAGCTTCTCTCTGGCCATTCTCCCCGGACAGATATTTCTACTGACTTCGTTATACCAGGTCGACAGCTTTTACAGCACAGGTGCCGGTTCCACAATCTCCGCTTGACTCGACTCTTCAAGAATACGCGGGATTGCCCTTCAGTGTCGCTATGATTCGGTTTCATTCTTCAACTTGAAGTACGACGATGGATCTTGCAGATCGATGCCGGCGCCAGCGGACAGTTTCAAGACGACGGGTGGGCCGACCGTGCGATCACGCACAGATTATGGCCTCAGAAGTCGCATGCACTATTCACTTACCTTCCACTCTCTGGGCCACTGAAATCGAATCCCATTGCATAGCTCAACATCGAATTCGCATTCATGCCCAACGTAGGCGCTTCAATGCCCAACAGTATCAGCGCTTGTATGCGGCAGCTACAGCTTAGGCGGATCTCAGGTATTCCAGAGCTTAACATGTCGGCATAATAGGGGTCAACGACGTCAACGCCATGGAATGAAGGAGTATGACCCATCTCTACGCCCGAAAACATTGTCCGGCGTAGCAAGTTGAGCACCTACGAAGGATCGCGTCCTCGTTGAAGAAAGCAGGCCGCTAAGAACGGCTGCCGCCTAAGCTTGCCCCAAGGCAGTCTCATCCGCGCAAAACTCGCCTCACTCTTTGTGCCAAGACGTGTCAAAGTTTGATCTGATATCTGAGAGCAACTGCCGTTGGCGACAGGGTCCACCTCATGCAGTCGTGCAACGATGCTCCGCAACGTGATTCGGCCACGCCGTCTCCCTGAGCAGCGTGTCGACTTCGATTCCTTGGAATTATGTAGACAACGTACCATGATCTAGTTATGATAAGCAAACTGATATGTGTTGGCAGATGTTCAAAGTTAGCGAACGCCAAATAAGTACCTGATGAGTTGAGTACCAGTGAAAATGGCTCAGACTTCCATTCTCTCGAGTTGCCATCATTGAGTAAATCCAATGTTACATCTCACAATGTAGATACAATCAAACCCCATCACGAATAATTAATCCTTGCGACCGCACCTTACACCTGGAAAGCATGTTTCTACTTTGTCGAGTAGACACCACCGACAAGCGTAACATTCGAAAAATCAGGAAGTAGATAGATCCGAATCGCGGTATGGTGAGAGCAGCTTCGAGCACACGATGCCTTACGATGTAACGCACACAATGAACGCAATGAAGCCAGGTTCGACCACTTCATCCATCGTCTGCTCACCAGAGTCGGAATTCGTTCCTGTGACGTGGGTTTCTTTTCAAGCGAAGAACCAAAAGCCATGCCGCTTTTGCCGCTTCTGATTCGCGGGTTGGGAGGTGTGGCCATCTCAACACTGTCTCGTTGGTATCGACGCGGGAAAGGATTCAAGCGATGCTGACTATACCTTGAATAGGTAGGTGAGTATCCAATGTTAATCGGGACCTTCAACCCTGCTCTTCCCCTCAACACTTTTCCATCTTGCCATGTCATCGCCACTCGGCCCCGAAAAAGACCTCTGCAGCGCAGTCTCGAGAAATAACCACAATGAACGTCAGAGATGCCAGCCTAGCCTCTCACGATGCAGACTTCATCGTAGAAGCCTTCGACTCGACCCTCGCGCCGCTCGTGGCTATGGGCAGCGGCGCGATGTGGGGGTCGCAGCCCTTTAGCCAGAAAGACGGCTTCGTCGAGGAGAACCTCAAGGATGTGGCGACGTCGGAGAGGTACCGTAGTACCGGCGAAGGCGATGCATTGCGAATCTTTATTGCCGAAGTTGAGGTTGAGTCCCCGGCGGGGACCGCCGCGATTACCCCGCACGATGCCGGGCAAGATGAGCCGGGCCCTCGTTATAGGACCGCCGAGGATGGGAAGCGCTACGTATCCGTCGGCGCCGCGTTCGTGCGCACGAATTGGCTTCCGAGCCACGTCGAGAGGCAGTTTGACAAAGAAGAGAAGATTCGCGACGAGTTGGGGGGAAAGAAGGACGGTTTTGTGTATCTCGATGTGATCGTCACGGATTACAGGACCGGGCAGTATCGTAAGGGCGCTGGAGAGGCGCTCATTCGACAGGCCAAGGAGCATGGGGTTGCGGAGGGCATGCAGGTGCTTTATGTTGATGCGTGGGCTGGGAACGAGAAGAAGTTGAATAGGTGAGTGCGAAAGAGGATCGATCTGAGATGATACGGTTGTTTCTAATGCCGGAGAACAGGTTCTATGAACGGCAGGGATTTGTTGTCGTTGACGACTTTACTTTTGCGCGTACTAATAAACCTGCTTGGCTTGGTACGCTTATGCGTCTGGATTTGACGATGATTGATGGACGGCAGGCATGAACAGGCGCATCCATGAGTTGTGTCGGGACCGTTGGCGAGACACCAACAAAGATCTCTCATACTAGGCCATTTTACAAGTTGCCCATACGACATGTTGGAACTCCAGCCCAACCTCTAGGCGAAGGTCAAGAATCGTAGCTTGCTTTGATCTGAATCGAACCATCGTCTCATGGGATGGCTATCTGGTAGTGGTGCCTGGGTTTCTATCAAAGTGGGACCCGGTCTTAAGGTTTACGTTTAGATCAGACCCAAATAGAGAAAATGAAGAAAGGAGAGAAGGAGACGAAAAAAGGGGACCTCTATAGGGAATCGAACAAAAGGTTAGGTTGAGTGAGGTTCGAGGACTTTCGGGCTAATACAAAGACTCCCCCCTCATACCCCTCGGCCACGTTCCCCTTGAATCTCTTATGACAGGAGGAGAGAAAATTTGACTCGAGTACCCTTCTTCTCAGGGAGTATTCTACTCTCTTGGATGGATCGTGCGAATACACGACGGCACCCTCCTCATGTGAAGGTACTCCCGGTTGCAAGCCTTTATAGAGAGGCTCAACTGCTGACCGCATTCAGGCTAAATAGAACCTCAATGTCACCACCCTCCACGTGGACTTTCTCCAATGTTTACAGCCTGCTATCATGGGTTCGATGCAGCGTACGAACGGTTTCCAGAAACGATGCTTCCGTTGACTCGGGAAATGGGGAATGTTGCAGTGTTGGACTGAATGAAGTAGCGGAGACTACCTGGCAGAACCGCCGGGGGCCCCCATTCGTGTAGCATCACTATTTCCCGTTTCAGGGTCCGGAGATACACATAGTGTTCGTTCCGTAGGTATTTTATTCTATGAATACCATAGACTAGACCATGTTTGAATTGCAAGCTGGGCACAAAAGCGCAAGCGGAAGACTTTTGTCATGTTCAGTCGCTGACTGGCGGCCTCAAACGGTCGAGTAACAGCCGAGGAATGCCCTACAACGACGGAAACATTGATGGGACTCGAACCAGGAATGGTAAACCCTCTACAGCTCAATTTTGGCAAATCTCACAACTTCGTCTCTTTTCAGAGGTCCGAGGTTGTTGGTACATGAAGGTGACGACGCAGCCACTAGCCCGCAATTCTTCGGAATCATTGCATCCGCCGCCCACTTTCGCAGACCTCAAAGGGAAAAGTTGCATATAGAAGACGACGTCCATGGCCTACCATCCAAGGATACGAAGAACAGCTGTTTTTCACCAAGTTCAGATCCAAAAATCCGCCCATTAGAGTTTACAACAGAGCGAGAAAAAGGGAAAAGATCGAATCTCACAATGCGGCCCCTCACCCTCCTAACCACGGCTCTCGCAGGCCTCCTCGCCCCCTCGCTCGCGAGCGCCGCCTCTCTCCAACAGGTCACTTCCTTCGGGGCCAACCCGTCCGGCGCAAAGATGTACATCTACGTCCCGGACAAGCTCGCGGCGAGCCCACCCGTCATCGTAGCGATCCACTACTGCTCCGGCACGGCGAGCGCGTACTACTCCAACACGCCCTACAAAGGGTACGCCGACACCTACGGGTTGATTGTCATCTACCCGGAGTCGCCGTACTCTGGCACGTGCTGGGATGTCAGCTCGACCGCGTCCCTGACGCATAACGGCGGCGGAAACAGTAATGCCATTGCGAACATGGTGACGTATACGCTTGATAAATATGCCGGTGACAATAGCAAGGTATTCGTGACGGGGACATCTTCGGGGGCGATGATGACGGTGAGTTTCTATTTTCCAAACAGTAGCTTTTGTCGAAAGACATATAAAGTAAAGGAGAGAGACTCTTCATCTTAACAAGTGACATTCTGCTAAAATCTAACAAACTTAGAACGTCATGGCAGCAACCTACCCAGAGCTCTTCGCCGCCGGCATAGCCTACTCGGGCGTCCCCGCGGGCTGCTTCTACACCGGCACCGTCAACGGCTGGAACTCTACCTGCAGCCAGGGCCAGTCCATCGCCTCGCAGCAGGCCTGGGCTCAGACGGCGCTCAACATGTACCCCGGATACAGCGGCAGCCGGCCCCGGATGCAAATCTACCACGGCAGCGCCGACACGACGCTGTACCCGCAGAACTGGAACGAGACGATCAAGCAGTGGACGGGCGTGTTCGGGTACAGCCTCACGCCGCAGCAGACGCTGCCCGGCACGCCGAGCGGGCAGTATACCAAGTACGTGTACGGACCGAACTTGGAGGGAATTTACGGGACGGGGGTCGGGCATAGTGTGCCTGTTATGGGGGCAGAGGATTTGAAGTGGTTTGGGATTACGGTGAGTGTGATTTCGCTCTCCGTTTCTTTCCCTTCTCTTTCAAAGAGTAGAGCTTGACTGACATTCGCAGGGCGGCTCCACGCAGCCGGGAACGACGACGCAGACCTCGGCGGCACCACCGGCGACGTCGACGGCGAGCGCGCCGCCGACCGGAGGCTGCACGGTCGCGAGGTGGGGCCAGTGCGGCGGGAGCGGGTGGAGCGGCTGTACCGCCTGCGCGAGCCCGTATACTTGCCAGGCCGCGAACCAGTGGTACTCTCAATGTCTTTGAGTGACTTTCATGGGTTGTTGCAGACGAGAAGGCAGGTAGAAGGATGTCTGGATCTTACACTGCAGGGTATGAGGGTAAGTCAAGGTAAGTTCAAGAAACGGCGCCGATGTGGGGCCGTCGGTCTTCCGGGATGCTGGTCCAAATCTCTCCTCCGGTCGACCGAGCTTTTTGAGCCGAACGGTTGCCGGGAGAGTGTTTCCACTCTTTCCAGATAAGGCTACTTGATCAAACTTACTTCTGAGGGGTTTTCCTCTTCTTGTGCCCAGAATCAGCTGTTTTGAATGACTCTCATCCCTGAAAAAGTACATGTAGAGGCGTCGTCGGCCGTATTCCGACCCTTGTCTAAGGCCGAGAAGTCGGCCTTTACGCCATGCACAACAAGCGTGCTGCACGAGGCTTACTCTAGCTCCGACCGGGAGACTGGTAATTTGCTTGGATGCGTGCAATTATGCCACGAGATTTCCCAATACTGTTCAAATATTTGGTAAAATCTCGGAGTGAAGGGCGGGAGGATGACCGCCGCAGGGTATTGCGTGATAGCGGAGAGACATCGCGCATTGGCTGCTTGGCGAGAGCCGGCTCACCACTAACCTCGCAGAATGAGACGACAAGAAGAACATAGTCTATCACATCCTTCGATAACGACATTTTGATGGGACCCACAACAGTTATTGATGCCATGGAGGCTACGAGGTTAAAGATCGCAGGTGTTCGCTGATGGCTTCCCTTTGAGAGCATGCTTTGCATGGAGCCTAAATGAAATCTTTTCCTCGGGCTTTGCGCACTTATACCTCACGAAAGTGCACTTGATCGTAGTTTTCGATCAACGAAATCACCCAAGTCATGGCCGACGAGAAAGAGATCGAGCCCAAGGTGACGTCTACGTCGAAGGGCAAGACCGTCTCGGAGAAGAACGCCGACGTGACGCTGCGGCTCCTCGAGCAGCATGGCGACGAGTTCGGTCCCATGACGCCCGAGATGGAGAAGAAGATTCGTAGGAAGCTCTATCTCCGCGTCATGACTCTCCTCTCGGCCATCAACATCATGCTTTTTGTAAGTTGATCGCGATGGAACCTGGGTTTGTGTGATGAGCAGTTAGCTAACCGTGACTTATTCCCCAGGTTGACAAGTCGACGCTCGGTTATGCAGCTATCTTGGGCCTCTTTGAGGAAACGGGAATCAGACAAGCCCAATACAACAACTTGAACACGATGTTCTACGTCGGTAAGCAAAAAACTCACCTACGCATCCTCGCTCTAACAACCCACAAACATCAAACAAACACAACTAACACACCATCCTCAAAGGCTACCTAGCCTTCCAATGGCCAGGCCACATCCTCATGCAAAAGCTCCCCTTTAGCAAATACGTAGCCATCACAATCTTCATCTGGTCCGTCCTCATCTTCCTCCACTGCGCAGCAACCTCCTACGCCGGCCTCATCGTCCTCCGCCTCCTCCTCGGCGCCGCCGAGGCCACAATCGTCCCCGCGATGGAAATCACAATCGGCATGTTCTTCAACCGTCGCGAGCAGTCCTACCTCCAGCCCGTCCTCTGGATCACCTGCCAGGCCGCCCCCCTCGTCACCGGCTTCCTCTCCTACGGCCTCCTCTACGCCGAGGGGCCCGTCCTCCCCTGGAAGCTCCTCCACATCGTCACCGGCGGCCTCACGCTCTTCCTCGCGGTCTGGGTCTGGTTCGAGTACCCTTCCAACCCGGCCGAGGCCCGCTTCCTCACCTTGGAAGAAAAAATTCACGTCATCCGCCGCGTCCACGCCGCGCAGCAGAGCTCCATCGAGCAAAAGCGCTTCAAGCGCGAACAAGTCGTCGAGACCCTCCGCGACCCCGTATCCTGGCTCTTCGCCCTGCAGTCCTTCACGCTAATGTACTCCAACAACCTAAACTACGGCCAAAAGAACCTCATCACCACCTCCATCGGCATCAAACCCCTCGGCTCGACCCTCGTCGCCGCGGCGGGCGGCGCCTTCGGCATCCTCTGCTGCGTCGTCGCCACCCTCGCCCTCCGCCGCTGGCCCAGCAACCTCGCCCTCCACGGGACCCTCTGGTGCATGCCCGCCGTCGCGGGCGGCATCGCGATGGTCACGGTCCCCTGGGACCGCAAGATCGGCCTCCTGGCGTGCCTGATCCTCGCGGCGGCGACGTACGGCGTGACGTACATCATTGCTCTCGGGTGGACGACGTCCACGGCGGCCGGGTACACCAAGAAGCTGACGCGGAACGTCATGTTCATGCTGGGGTACAGCGTCGGCAACCTCGTGTCGCCGCAGATCTGGGTGCCGGCCAACGCGCCGCGATTCTATGGCGCGTGGGCGTCCATGATTTCGGTGAGCTGGATCGGGACGCCGGTGATTTTGTGGATCATCCGGTTCATACTCGTGAGGAGGAATAAGGAGCGGTTGGAGTATATTGCTGGGCTGAGCGAGGATGAGCGGGACGGGTGGGTTGAGCAGGTTGACGAGGGCGGCGAGACGATCCGGGTCAAGGTCGATTTGGCGGTTTTGGACCTGACGGATCTGCAAAATAAGCAGTTTCTATACCCCATATGAAGGGGTGAGGATGTAGTTCCTCATAGTTGTCAGCGTCTTTGCGAGGACTGTTGAATATCAATCATACTGCCGTCAGGCCTCGTATCAATCTCTCGACTGTCCCAACCGTTCTATTTCCTTTGTTTCCAACTATGGCTTGCTGAGATGCAAATCGACTTAGAGACCTGAAGGTCAGATTAGTGCTTACCCAGTCGCCCATAGAGTTTCTCTCAAACCAACAAACAAGAAGTCAATTCTAGGCTTATCAAAACTTAACATGCAATCCATATAGACTTCAAACGGTCTACACTCGGTGTTAGCTGTTTCAATTGGGTATGCATAGCCGTGTTCCTCTAGTAAGAGACTGTAATTGACAATTGCTCAGACGGGCCACACAATGAGACTTCGCAAATTGGCTCTACTTTATGTGGATTGGTCAATGGCGTGCGACGCTTATTTATCGTCATGAAGTCTTTAAAAATGCGTAGGACATGACAAACACTTCTAGGAAATGCGCAAGTCGAGGGATCAGAAGGAGAAAGTTGTATTATTCAGTTTTTGAGACAAGCCGTTAATTTGCTACGACATCTATGCCATGTCCATTCCAGGCCTGATAACTCCCGGCTCAGCATTGGAAAAGAAGTAGTTAAACAAGGTTTCTGTATGACCTTATTCAGTGAAGAATGTGACAAAAAGGGTTGAATGTGGAATTTCGGGCCAAGAGAGCCGTCTTCCCTTTGAAAAACGGCTCGATTACACACAATAGGAGCCACGAATGGAGAGAAGTTGAGCCGCAACCAAACACCAGCCTCACTCAACTCTCTTCTTGCCCTCCTCGGCATGAAGGTACCTCGCCGTGCTGAGACCGCGCTCATGACGAGCAACAAAGGAGCCAAGGACGGAATCCTTCCGGGCCTTGGACATGTGCTCGGCGTAGCCCTCGTTGGCCCACGGTCTGGGGTTGAGCTTAGGCCAGTTGACCTGAGATAGGTTGTCAGCTGGATTGAACATGGACAGGGACAAGGGGCAGCATGATGGCTGTGACTTACGTAAAGCATGCCGTGGCTAAAGACGAAGCTGGCAGACCAGACGGCGACGGCGAGCCAGAAGAGGATGAAGACACGGATGGTGACGACGGCCTCGCTTTTGGAGAAGAGACCGACAAGAACGAGGAAGATGCTGAAAGCGAGGAGGTAAGGGACCGACTGGATGAGAATGGGGCGGCGGTCGGCAAAGACCAGGGAGCCTCCAATATTTGCGGTACCAGGGAGGAAAACGCCGAGGAACAGGTCGTACGAGTCCTGGCGGGGACCGTCGAAGAAGTTGTTCTTGAAGTAGCGGGTGACGCCGATGCGGGCATCCTGAAGAGCGCCGACCTTTGTGCGGTTGCCGGTGCGGGTGACGTCTGTCTTCATGGCTCCGGTGCCGGAGTACGAGTTGGACACAACGTCGGCGTTGTCGGCCCAGAGGTTGCGGAACATGTGCTCAAAGGCCGGGTCTTCGTCGCGGAAGGACGAGCCGCGGGACATCAAGCCCATCTCCTCAAAGATGCGATCCAACATGTGGCGGGCAAACATGGATTGGACCACGTTCGTACGATCCAGGCAGTCCATGCAATTTGTGCGCATGACGCTGGTCTGGTAGCTGCGTGGCTCGAGACGGCCGTCGTTGGATCCCGGCATGTCCACCGCACGGAAGTAGCCTTGATCTTGGAGAGCCTCCTGCAGCTTCTCGACGAGGGCGTATGCGCGGTGCATCTTCATGCCCTTGGTCTCGTGGTGGTAGTCAAAGTAGATGTAGTGCAGGCGGTCAAACTCGACGGCGCGCTTCTCGGGCTGGATTGTGGTGAACTTTTCGTCCGTGATACGATCGCCCTCGGTCCGCTCTTTTGGCGACGATACGAGCTTCTCAACCATTTGCTCGTATGAGCTCTTGACGCGCTGCTCGCGACCCTTTTGGTTCACGAGGTTGATGAGGTAGTTGTCGCCGTAGAGACGGATCTGTTCCTCGAAATGCGCCTTGGCCGCCGGCAGAGCGCTATCAATGCCGCGAACCTGCAGCTTGGGAACGTAGCGGAGGCTGTTGATCTCGGCCCAGTAGGTGGGCACGCTGCCGCGAGTCTGGACGTAGGACATGATCTGGGTCTCCTTCCCGTCGGCGCCGTACTTGCCGCTCTGCATATCGCTGCTGCCGGCAAAGCCGCCCATACCACTGCCTGAGTCATTGAAGATGGTGATCTGCTCCGTCTCGTTGTAGTTGGCAGCGTGGCCCTCGTCGTCAACGCCTCGAGTGAAATATCTGGTGCCGCCGCGGTGTCTAGATCTACGAGAGATGAGGGTGACGGTGACGGGGGTTCCCTTGAAGGTGGTGGGGCGGATCTCGAGCATGCCAAAGATGACGGGGAGGATGAAGGGGTCGACGCCGGGCTGGGGACCAACATGACCTCTGGCGCCCC